TTGATAGAAAAATAAGTTCTGATGGAATGAGGAACACTTATGTGTTTCACTTGAATGGAGTTATATATCTCTTGCCTCGTTTGTATCCTAAACAAGTAGAAGAAATTCAATCGACACTGATGCAAGCTCTCAAACTAGCCTCAAAGAAGGAAGAAATCAAAGAGAGAAAATTGGAACCTCCATGTTTGGAATTGCAATCACCACTTCAATCTTCTATTTCGGTTTGTAGCCAAACAAAGGGACCACAATCAGTGATACAGTGGAAAGGACCAGCCCAAGGTGTCAAAGTGCAACCTCTCTTGGTAACTACAAAGGATATTAAGCAAGAGAAAAGAAGGGGAGTAACTATTTACTCATTTTTATTTCAAAAGCATGCATTAAAATTCTCTAGATTTGTTTGTCATGTTTCTATTAATGAGCTCCTTGCTAGATGTGTTAGAAATTTGTTTGCGTCCATACATCCGAGATTCCTTAATTTTGATTTTACTAAAACTTTATTTGATAGAGATAAGTAATCACTGGGAAGTTATAAGGCACATTTGAAAACTTCTTATGTGAAATACTACTTGCTCAAGGGGTTTTCTTTCAAAGTCAATGGGATTGGCACTTTTTGCTTGGATTTGAGCAATGGTTTAATTATTGATTCACATAAGGGACTATTTGATTTTCCAAAGAGTGATGATGTTTTGCATGGATATTTTCATTGGCCAAAGAAGAAAAAAGATGTAGAATCTTATGTTCATAATTGTGCTACTTACCACCACAATGCATCTAAATCATTACTTGATATTTTCATGGATTTTGTGTTTGGTTTAGCCTTAAGCTCTAGGTGGAAAGATTTTGTGCTTATTGACAATTCAAACAACATGCATAAATTTAATATGTCTCATTTTGTTGAATTATTACCATCCAGAATGTTTAAATTCCCTGATGTGTCATTAGACTTAATTGCCTTACTTGTTGATTGTAGGATGATGATTGGAGCGACTCATGTCAAGCATCCCAAGAAAAAGTTCCATGAGCGTGATAAAACAGAAAGTGAGCTTGCTACTTTGTCTTTCACTGAAGATTTGGATTCGAGGACGAATCCTTTTCAAGAAGGGGAGAATAATTAGAACCAGTACACATGGAATCCAATAAGGGTCTATAGTGGGCTCATCACAAGGCCCATAACTACATCCTTAAAGAATCATTGGTGGAAGAAACAAGAAGGCCCAATAATAATTCCATTCGATAGAGGAAAGTATTATAGTGGCCCATTTCAAGTGATATCATGGATCGAAGACAATGCTTACAAGATTCGAGGTCAAATCATTTTCAAGAAGGGGAGGATGATGCGGCCCAACATAATGAAGATCCATCAAGAGTACCAATTGGGCCAATCACAAGGCCCAAGTCCAAACGATTAAGACAACTTTTCATTGGTTATATTCAAAGATGGTGGAAATCCAAGTCAACCCCATTTGCAAAAGATGAAGAAGATTACAAGGCTTTTTATAATTGTTTAAGTGCTGATTTTGGTGATTAAATTAGGCCCAAATCAGCCCTATTATTTTTGGTCATCATTAATTTAAATTGTTTGGCATAAAAGAGAAAACACTAGTTGTATTTAGAAAGGATTCCTTAAATCCTTTTCTAAATAAAACTCTATTTACTTGTTTTCTAGATTAGGTTTAGGACTCTTTTTTCGATTGCATTTAGAATTATAATGCTGCCCCTATACCTATAAATAGGGCACATCCATATCAGTTTCGGGGAGGCTTCAATTCAATAAAACTCTTAAGTTTTTCTTTACACTTGTGTAAGAAACCTTATGGCTAATTGTGGACTCAATTAGTGGCTAATCGTGGACTCGACTAGCAAATTGATTCGTGGACTCGAATCAATCTTACTTTCTTCAACCTTAGATTTAGGTTCATGGACTCGTTCTTGAATCGAAGGAAACTAGATCCGACTCTAGTTGATTGAAGATTGCAATATCAAGGTACTTGAAGCTACATGGGATTCTTCCAAGTCTTTGAGGATTCGAGACAAAGGGTTTCTCGTGAGGTTTAAGGTATTTTGATCCATCTCTATCTTTACTTTGAGAGCATTCTTGGGACAATACTCCATCTTTATTTGAACCTTGGACTAGGTTCATATCAGCAGCTATGGTTAAATTTCCCCAGTTACCTTTGCTTAATCATCCAAATCCTTATTGTTTGTAATGGTTAACTGATGCAGGAAAAGCTAGAGTAACCATACAGGATCTTATTCCTTTATCTATTAACATTTACTCTGATAAAATCTTGTGTGATAATATCCCAATGCAGGTTGCTCATATCTTGTTAGGTAGATCATTGCAATTTCACAGAAAACTAAGTTCTGATGGAATGAGGAACACTTATGTGTTTCACATGAATGGAGTTACATATGTCTTGCCTCGTTTGTATCCTAAACAAGTAGAAGAAATTCAATGGACATTGATGAAAGCTCTCAAACCAGCGTCAAAGAAGGAAGAAATCAAAGAGAAAAAAGTGGAACCTCCATGTTTGGAATTGCAATCACCACTCCAATCCTCTAACTCAGTTTATAGCCAAACAAAGGGACCACAAATCAGTGATACAGTGGAAAGGACCAGCCCAAGGTGTCAAAGTGCAACCTCTCTTGGTAACAAAAAATGATAGTATGCAAGAAAAAGGAAGGGGAGTCACTTTCTACTCACTTTTATTCCAAAAGCATGCATTAATATTCTCTAGATTTCTTTGCCATGTTTCAATCAATGACGTACTTGCTAGATGTGTTAGAAATTTGTTTGCCTCCATACATCCAAGATTCCTTAATTTTGATTTTACTAAAACTTTGTTTGATAGAGATAAGGAATCACTGGAACGTTATAAGGCACATTTGAAAACTTCATATGTGAAACACTACTTGCTCAAGGGGTTTTGGTTCAAAGTCAATGGGATTGACACTTTTTGCTTTGTTTTGGGCAATGATTTAATTGTTTATTCACATAAGGGAAATTTTGATTTTCCAAAGAGTGATGATGTTTTGCATGGATATTTTCATTGGCCAAAGAAGAAAAAAGATGTAGAATCTTATGTTCAGAATTGTGCTACTTACCACCATAATACATCTAAATCATTACTTGATATTTCCATGAATTTTCTGTTTGATTTTACCTTAAGCTCTAGGAGGAAAGATTTTGTGCTTATTGACAATTCAAAGAAGATGCCTAAATTTAATATGTCTCTTTTTATTGAATTATTACCATCCAGAATGTTTAAATTCCATGATGTGTCATTAGACTTAATTGCCTTACTTGTTGATTGTAGGATGATGATTGGAGCGACTCGTGTCAACCATCCCAAGAAAAAGTTCCATGAGCGTGATAAAACACAAAGTGAGCTTGCTAATTTGTCTTTCATTGAAGATTTGGATTCGAGGACGAATCCTTTTCAAGAAGGGGAGAATAATTAGAACCAGTACACATGGAATCCAATAAGGGTCTATAGTGGGCTCATCACAAGGCCCATAACTACATCCTTAAAGAATCATTGGTGGAAGAAACAAGAAGGCCCAATAATAATTCCATTCGATAGAGGAAAGTATTATAGTGGCCCATTTCAAGTGATATCATGGATCGAAGACAATGCTTACAAGATTCGAGGTCGAATCATTTTCAAGAAGGGGAGGATGATGCGGCCCAACATAATGAAGATCCATCAAGAGTACCAATTGGGCCAATCACAAGGCCCAAGTCCAAACGATTAAGACAACTTTTCATTGGTTATATTCAAAGATGGTGGAAATCCAAGTCAACCCCATTTGCAAAAGATGAAGAAGATTACAAGGCTTTTTATAATTGTTTAAGTGCTGATTTTGGTGATTAAATTAGGCCCAAATCAGCCCTATTATTTTTGGTCATCATTAATTTAAATTGTTTGGCATAAAAGAGAAAACACTAGTTGTATTTAGAAAGGATTCCTTAAATCCTTTTCTAAATAAAACTCTATTTACTTGTTTTCTAGATTAGGTTTAGGACTCTTTTTCCCATTGTATTTAGATTACAATGCTGCCCTATACCTATAAATAGGGCACATCCATATAAGTTTGAAAGAGGCTTTAATTCAATAAAATTCTTAAGTTTTTCTTTACACTTGTGTAAGAAACCTTATGGCTAATTGTGGACTCAATTAGTGGCTAGTCGTGGACTCGACTAGCAAATTGATTCGTGGAGTCGAATCGATCTTCCTTTCTTCAACCTTAGATTTAGGTTCGTGGACTCGTTCTTTAATCGAAGGAAACTAGATCCGACTCTAGTTGATTGAAGATTGCATCATCGAGGTACTTGAAGCTATAATGGGATTCTTCAAAGTCTTTGAGGATTCGGGACTATGTGTTTCTCGTGATGTTTAAGGTATTTTTGATCCATCTCTATCTTTAGTTTTGAGAGCATTCTTGGGACAATATTTCATTTTATTTGAACCTTGGACTAGGTTCATATCAATATGGCTCGTGATTGTCCTAACAAGAGGGTAGTTAAGATAACAAAACATTGTGAAAAGTTTGCTTCGTGTCTTGAATATGAGTCTGATGATGAGGTTAGTGACCATTTGGAAACCCCCAATGAGCATGTTGAGGAGGAACCACCTTTACCTTTAGATTTTGATTATGAATATGCTGATAGTGAGTCTGTTCATACTCTTGTTGTTAAGAAGGTTTTGAATGTTCATCCTTTAAAAGAAGATGAGTCTCAAAGAGAAAATATATTTTATGCTAAAGGGTCAATTATAGGGAATGCTTGTACTGTGATAATAGATTCTGGAAGTTGCACAAATGTGGCTAGTGCAGCTATGGTTAAATTTCTTCAATTACCTTTGCTTGATCACCCTAATCCATATCGTCTGCAATGGTTAACCAATGCAGGAGAAGTTAGAGTAACAAAGCAGGCTCTTATTCCTTTATCTATTAACAGTTACTCTGATGAAATTTTGTGTGATATTGTCCCAATGCAGGCTGCTCATGTGCTGTTAGGTAGACCGTGGCAATTTGATAGAAAAATCACTTTTGATGGAATGATGAACACTTATGTGTTTCACATGGATGGAGTTAGATATGTCTTGTCTCCTTTGACTCCTAAACAGGTGGAAGAAATACTATTGAAATCGAGGAAGACATCAAAAGAGGCGAAATCAGTGCCATATTCCCCCTATCCAAAATCAAAGCCTCCACCTCCTCCAATATCCCTTTCCACGCCATTTTCATCTCAAAACCCAGCAAAGGAATCACCACATCAGCCCTCTCTTCTTGCAACAAAAAAGGACATTAAGAAGGCAATAAGAAGGGGAGACACGTTTAACTTACTTTTCATTCATAAGCTTACCACTGATCTTGATTCTTCTCTTGTGTTACACTCTGAATCTTGTTTTCGTAATGCCTCTATTGATGAATTGCTTGCTGATTTTTCAGATTTATTCCCTAAAGAGATGCCAAAAGGATTGCCACCATTTAGAGGGATTAAGCATCAAATCGACTTTGTCCCTGGATCTACCTTGCCAAACCGACCAGCCTACAAAACCAATCCCGTGGAAGCAAAGGAAATCCATAAACAGGTTGAAGAGCTTCTTGAAATTGGACATATTCGAGAAAGCTTGAGTCCGTGTGCCGTTCCAGTGCTCATTGTCCCAAAAAAAAAACGGTACATGGAGAGTGTGTGTTGATTGTCGTGCAATCAACAATATAACTATTAAGTATAGATTTCCTATTCCTCGACTTGATGATATGCTTGATGAACTTTATGGAGCTAAGTACTTTAGCAAGGTGGATTTGAAGCGAGGATATCATCAAATCAGGATGAAAGAAGGTGATGAGTGGAAAACAGCCTTTAAAACAAAGCATGGTTTATATGAATGGTTAGTCATGCCTTTTGGCTTAACAAATGCCCCTAGCACATTCATGAGGCTTATGAACCATGTTTTGAGGAAATTTATTGGTAATTTTGTTGTTGTTTACTTTGATGATATTCTGATTTATAGCAAGTCACAAGAAAAACACTTGAAACACCTTCGATTAGTTTTTCTTGAACTTAGGGCTGCACAGTTGTATGTCAATCTTAAAAAGTGTTCTTTTATGTCTGAGAGTGTTGAGTTTTTAGGATTTCATGTTAGTATAGAAGGTGTGACCATGGATTCAAAAAAGGTTGAAGCTATCACAAGTTGGCCAACGCCAACTAATGTATCTAACTTGCGTAGTTTTTTAGACTGGCAGGTTTCTACAGAAAGTTTGTTCGTGATTTCAGCTCCATAACAGCCCCTATGCATGAGTTGATTAAGAAAGACACCATCTTCAAATGGGGGCCTAAACAGGAACAAGCTTTTGCTACATTGAAAGTTCTACTCACCACCGCTCCTGTTCTAGTTTTGCCTTGTTTTGATAAAACTTTTGAACTAGAATGTGATGCTTTTGGCATTGGAATTGGTGCTGTACTGATGCAGGATAAACGCCCCATTGCCTATTTTAGTGAGAAGTTGGGTGGCGCAACACTCAACTATCCCACATATGATAAAGAACTTTATGCCATTATAAGAGCCTTGGAAACTTGGCAACATTATTTATGGTTTAAAGACTTTATTTTACACACTGATCATGAAGCCTTAAAACATTTGAAAGGCCAAGGTAAGTTGAATAATAGACATGCTAAATGGCTCGAGTTCATTGAAGCTTTTCCTTATAAAATTGCCTCAAGAAAGGTACGAAAAACAAAGTGGCTGATGCTTTATCTAGGAGATATACTTTACTTGCTACTTTACACGCTAAGTTTCTTGGTTTTGATTTCATTAAGTCTCTCTATGCTAGTGATTCAATGTTTGGCGAGATCTACACCTCTTGTGTACGATCTCCTTTGGGAAAGTTTTACTTGTCAGATGGGTTTTTGTTTAAGGAAAATAAAGTGTGCATTCCTAATTGTTCCTTGCGTGTGAGTTTGATCACTGAATCACATGGAGGTGGTCTTATGGGACACTTCGGTATTTCTAAAACCTATGATGTGTTGCATGAACACTTCTATTGGCCTAGAATGAAAAAAGACGTTGAGACTTTTGTGAATAATTGTACTACATGTCACCATGCTAAGTCCAAATCACTTTCCCAAGGGCTTTACACACCACTTTCTGTTCCTAGCGGCCCGTGGCTTGATATTTCTATGGATTTTGTTCTAGGGTTACCTATGAGTTCTAAGAGAAAAGATTCTATTTTTGTTGTAGTTGATCGTTTTAGTAAGATGGCTAGATTTATTGCTTGCACCAAAACTGATGATGCAACTCATATTGCTAATCTTTTCTTTGCTGATATTGTTAAATTGCATGGCATCCCTAAGACTATTGTTTCTGATAGAGATTCTAAATTTCTTAGCCACTTTTGGCGTGTTCTGTGGGCTAAAATTGGGACTAAGTTGCTATTTTCTACTACTTGTCATCCTCAAACTGATGGACAAACAGAAGTAGTTAATAGAACCTTATCCCAATTACTTAGAAGTGTGATCTCTAAAAATCTAAAATCATGGGAAAAATGTTTGCCTCATGTTGAATTCGCTTATAATCGTGCAATACATTCAACCACTAACATGTCTCCTTTTGAAGTTGTGTATGGTTTCAATCCGTTATCTCCCATAGACTTACTTGCTTTGCCTTACAATCCGCAGGATAGCTTAGATGGAGAAGAACGTGCCAAGAAGACCAAGGAGATGCATGTTAAAGTCAAAGAACAAATTGAGAAAAGGAACGAACAAATAGCTGCTCGAGTGAACAAGACAAGGAAAATGATCACATTTGAGCTTGGAGATTGGGTGTGGATTCACTTGCGCAAAGACCGTTTTCCCCGCGAAAGAAAGTCAAAGCTGAACCAACGTGGAGATGGCCCATTTCAAGTTATATCACGGATTGGAGATAACGCATATAAGGTTGATCTTAGAGGAGAATACAATGTCTCTTCTACTTTCCATGTTTCAGACTTGTCTCCATATGATTGCACAGATTCGAGGACGAATCATTTTCAAGAAGGGGAGGATAATGCAACCCAAACTACTGAAGATCCATTAAGAGTACCAGTTGGGCCAATCACAAGGTCTAAGTCCAAACAATTAAGACAACTCTTCATTGGTTATGTTCAAAAATGGTGGAAATCCAATTCAAGCCCAATTGCAAATGATGGCGAAGAACTCAAGGCTTTTTATAATTGTTTAAGTGCTGATTTTGGTGATTAAATTAGGCCCAAATCAGCCCTATTATTTTTGGTCATCATTAATTTAAATTGTTTGGCATAAAAGAGAAAACACTAGTTTGTATTTAGAAAGGATTCCTTAAATCCCTTTCTAAATAAAACTCTACTTACTTGTTTTCTAGATTAGGTTTAGGACTCTTTTTCCCATTGTATTTAGAATTATAATGCTGCCCCTATACCTATAAATAGGGCGCATCTATATCAGTTTCGATCAGGCTTTAATTCAATAAAATTCTTAAGTTTTTCTTTACACTTGTGTAAGAAACCTTGTGGCTAATTGTGGACTCAATTAGTGGCTAGTCGTGGACTCGACTAGCAAATTGATTCGTGGACTCGAATCAATCTTCCTTTCTTCAACCTTAGATTTAGGTTCGTGGACTCGTTCTTGAATCGAAGGAAACTAGATCCGACTCTAGTTGATTGAAGATTGCATCATCGAGGTACTTGAAGCTACAATGGGATTCTTCCAAGTCTTTGAGGATTCGAGACAAAGGGTTTCTCGTGAGGTTTAAGGTATTTCGATCCATCTCTATCTTTATATTGAGAGCAATCTTGGGGCAATACTCCATCTTATTTGAATCTTGGACTAGGTTCATATCAGTTAATTAGGTTAATGCCTCGAGCCTTAGGTCCTCTCAGATACGAATAGTTGAACTGACCTTACCACTCATCCCTTAACTTCTCAAAAGGTAGGTCCTTCTTAACTTTGACCTTTGCGACCATTTGGTTATGAATGGTTGACTTTATCATTCGGTCTTGCAATACTTCGAAAGGTAGACCCTTCCACCTCTCGGCCTTTGCAACCTTTCGGTCTTGATATCTTCCACTCTTCGAATCTTCAGTCGTCGGTATTCAGTCTTCGGACTGGAGATAACCACTCAAGTTACTCTTTTTCTCGAGCTATTCGAAAGATAACCACTCGGGTTGATCTTTGACTCGTTGTCTTTTTCCCAGTCGAGAGTTAACCATTCGGGTTACTCTTTAAATCGTTGCTGCGACTGTCCTCTCGAGTCTCAATTCGGATGTGTAAATAAGTTACTACTTGTGGTACCATTCGGTTAGATTCGAATGTTTGAGTTTAACAAATTTTATTTGCATTTCTAGGATAAAATTACTGGAATTTAACTCAACACGACCCAACACAATATTTTATTGATCATCTCAAAAATTACACTTACAAGGATATAGCAATTAAAGCATAAAATGAATAAACATTACATATAATCTAGTTATCCTGTAGTTGTTGGACTTCATCTTCTTGTTGTTTCTTTGCCTTAGCTTCTGCACTATCAAGCACTTTGTTGATCTGATTCCTTGTGCCTTTGATATTGTTCTCCAAGACATGGTGTTCGAAGCATCGAGTGATCTTGAAGCTCATGTAGTTGTGGAATGCCTCAACAACATCAATTCCACCAACTACTCCTCGCTTCCACCATCTGATTAATTCGGCCTGATTCATTCCATCAGCGAATGATACAGAATTGTCTCTTAGGAGCTCAAAAACTGCATTGTTGATGAATTCATCTGAATCCATGCTTGTCACTTTCTTAATGGAATCAAATCTTGCTTTCATCATTCTTTCAGCCTCACCAGCTTCCTCTCCTTGTCACTTCTTCGCCATTTCATTGTCTTTATCTCTCCTTCTTGTGAGCATCAATCTTCTCATTCACAAGGAATATGTGATCTATGTTGCAATCCTTGTTAATAACAATGACTCCTCGTTCATCCATTTTGTTCTAAAATGCCCATTTCATTCGAATC